CAAACTGGAGCACCAGACCAAACAAACTCCACCACAAGACTGACCCATGAGGATCTGAACAGGCTTCAATTTAACAAGGGTGGCAATGTCGAAGCACTCGAACACATCCGAATTCTAATCGGAGCACGCTGACTCAAAACGCCACTACGGTGTCTTTATCACGATGTTTGCATCATCCGAACATGCCTCACCAGCCATTCAGAAGTGCCCCTGTCAACCCTGCCCAAAACATTGATTCAAATACTCTGGCGGAAGACCCAACCATACGCAGTTGTGCGCACCGTCGTTGTATCCACCGCATTTGGTGGAGGTGCCCGATGGGGCCACGAAGCGTGTAAGGGGTGTGCGGAAATGGGCGCGGTGGGCGCATGCGAACGCAGCCACTGGGGCCTTCGGTGGAGAACCTTGCGGGGCCAACAAACGTGTGAGGGGTGTGCCGAAATGTGCGCGGTGGGCGCATGCGAACGCAGCCGCTGAGGCCTTTCGGTGGAGCTCCCTGTGGGGCTACGAAGCGTGTGAGGGGTGTGCCGGAATGGATGCGGTGGGCGCATGCGAACGCAGCCACTGGTGCCTTCGGTGGAACCCCCTATGGGGCCACGAAACGTGTGAGGGGTGTGCCGAACTGGGTGCGGTGGGCGCATGCGAACGCAGCCACTGGGGCCTTCCGTGGGGCTCCCTGTGGGACCACGAAGCGCGTGAGGGGTGTGCCAAAATGGGTGCGGTGGGCGCATGCGAACGATCTGGCACTTGGGCCTTCGGTGGGGCTCCTCCCTATGGAGCCACGACACGTGTGAGGGGTGTGCCAAAAAGGGTGCGGTGGGCGCATGCGAGCGCTGCCATTTGGACCTTTGGTGAGGCTCCCTGTGGGGCCACGAGACGTGTGAGGAGTTGGCCAAAATGGGCGCGGTGGGCGCATGCGAACGCTGGAATTTTGGCCTTCGGTGGGGCTCCCTATGGAGCCACGACCCTATGGAGCCACGACGCGTGTGAGGGGTGTTCCAAAATGGGTGCGGTGGGCGCATGCGAACGCTTGCATTTTGGCCTTCAGTGGGGCTCCCTATGGGGCCACGAAACGTGTGAGGGTCTGCCAAAATGAGAGGGGGTGGCGGGAGGAGGGAGGAGGAGGGAGGGGGAGGAGAGGAGTGACGCGGGGCGCTGTTTCTTCGGTTGGGGAATGTACAAAAGCACCGCAAACCCAATCAATGAATACACCGAGAAGTTGCCGAACAACTGCCATGGCATGCTCGTGTGGCAAAAGGACACCCTGCTCATCCGAATCTGCATATGGCAAAATCCAGCGACAGTCGGAACACGGTCACATCGTGCCACAACATCACATCATCTATCACATATCGTAGTCCATGTCAGTGCCCCCCGCAACCACGCCCTCATAAAACAAACTATACCATCTCGTGAGTGATGTTTGCATCAGGTGATCGCAAAAAGTGAAAGAGAACCTTCTGGTGGGAGGAAAACCCCTTGACCTATTCGAGCGGGGGCGGTTGTGTGAGAAATCCCCGTTACCTCATGCACAGACTCACTTCTCCCTCACACCGATCACGTACGAAAGAGAGACGCCTGTGGGGAGCCAGGCAGAACTCCGCGTGGACATCAAAATTAGTGCGCTCATGCTGTCTCTGCTAGCAGGCAACCACATGTGACCCCTACCCCTGCTGGTCAGATTTATATTAAAAACAGCTGCAAAAAGAGCTGAGGTTCATATTCCGAAGGATGTCAGCAGCCAGGTGGACCCCAGCGGGGGTGTCCGCTGCCCCAGCGTCGACTGGACCCGTCTGGGTAGGTGCGCAAATTGTAACTAATTGATTCGATCTGATGGGACCCATTAGGTAACCAAGCGATACCCGTACCGCTACTCCCCTGGCCTCTCCTGGGGTGCGTACTGAGCAGGAATTCGACGCGAATCCAGCCGTGCGGACGAGGGCCTCCCAGGAGCCCCCCCAAAAGATGAAAACGACGCGAGGATAGCGGTATCAGTACCATTTCCTCCTCTGACCCAGCCGAAGCTTGCTCGAACTGGTCCACGACATGTTCGGCGGCAACTCGTGGGAGATTCCCATACCATCTTCCTGGCTCTTACAGGTCGATGCTGATCGACGCTCAATCGACGCTACCCTGCGCCAGTCGACGCCACATCAGCGTTAGATCATCGAAGGCCAGACGCTAGTCGACGCTAAGGCCCACTGGAAACGGAGGGCATCCACTGGCCATCGCTCGGACGTCCATTCCCTGTGTTTTTTTTGGTTCCGTGCGTGGCTTTTTCGCCAAATGGTCGAGGATGCTCCTCCAAGGTCCTCGCCGAGAAAAAAATGCACACGTCCGAGCGATGCCAAGTACAAGGTGCCCACGATATGCCATCGAGGCTCAGTCTGACCCCCGAAATTCCAGGGCGTCCTGGGCGCCCCAGCTGCGGGGATGCCGCCGCCGCGGCCGGGGCTGCCAGCCCGGGCGGCTCCGGGGAAGCCGGGTGCTCGGGCTGCTCCTCGGCATGCGCCGCGGGGGGAGCGCGCGCGTTGGGCTTGGGTTTCGCTTCTGCCCCAGCTTTTGGCAGGTCGTTGTCGACGTCGTCACCGGCGTCGTCGCCGTCGTCGTCGTCGCCGTCATCGTCGTCGTTGTCGTTGTCGTTGTCGCCGTCGTCGTCGCCGCCGCCGCTGGCTCCCCGTCGTCGTAGCCGTCGTCGTCGTCGTAGCCGTCGTCGTCGTAGCCGTCGTCGTCACCGTCGTCGTCGACGACGACGACGACGTCGTCAACGTTGGCGTCATTGTCGTCGTCGTTGTCGTCTTCGTCGTCGTCGCCGTCGCCGTCGTCGTCGTCGCCGCCGCCGCCGCTGCCACTGTCGTCGTCGTTGCCGTCGTCGTCGTCATCGCCGTCGCCACCGTCGTCGTTGTCGGCGGCGGCGGCGACGGCGTCGTCGTCGTCGCAATCGTCGCCACCGCCGCCGCCGTCGTCGTCGTCGTCGTCGTCGTCGCTGTCGCCGTCGCCGTCGCCGTCGCTGTCGCAGTCGCCGTCGTCGTCCTCGTCGCCGTCGTCCCCGTCGTCGTCGGCATCATCGTCGCCTTCGCGCCGTCGGGGGGCATCGCGCGCGTTTCCCTCGAGAGAGCTCGCGGGGACCTCGACCCCCTACCGCGGATCGAGCGCGCTGGGCACTTCCCCCAGGCTCTCGCCGCACGTAAGAGCGCATCTGGAGACGGAGGAGGCCCGCTTCGCCGTCGGGATAACCGACTCGCCCCGCTCATTGGGGAGGACAACATAATGACAACCTCTGAGCTGAGGGAGCCGCACCATGGCACACCCAGCGACGATGACCTGCGCGCGGCGTTCGAAAACAGGCGCCGCGCGCAGGTCATCACCGTTGGGGGTTCGGGGTCATCCCTGGTTTGTCTGCTCTTCGCTCCTGACCCCTGCGATGGCCCGTCTTGCAAGCGCAGGAGCCGTTAAGCAGTCGTGAGTGTGCCTTACACACATCGGTATACCCACACATACAGGTAATACCACCACCCTTCGGGCGCAGCTTTTGCTGGGGGGATGGGTGCAACTCTCGCTTCGCGATTGGCGTCGGGTCGGGCTCGCAATTTTTCGATCCAACTACCAGTCTCACACCTATGAGTCGATCCCGCTGCCCATACTTAGATCGGTCCATCTAATTGTTTATCAGACGATCGATCTACCGATCGGTGTCACACGCCCTTTTGAGGCCCCTTCTGATGGAGAAGCATTGGCTGCCTTCAGGGCGTTGGCCAGCTTGGGCAACGTGGAGGTCCGCCTGGGGCCTCTCATGAACCTGTGCTGCATGTTTGAACTGTTGTGGGCTCCCGTAGGCCCTCTCTAACGGGATGTCTCAGGCTGTGACGGGGCCGTCGCTGGTCGCGCGCGATGCGCGCGGCCCACCTCCGAGGAGGGTGCCCAAGAAGTGCCTGCGCGAATTCGCACGCAGTCGGCGGCGGCTCACGCAGCCCGAGCCGCGGGGGCGCCACCGCAGCTCTTAGCAGCGCCGCTCGCCGCCCGAGGCAGGGCAACAAAGGGGGCGGCCATGCACTGCGACCGCCTCCGCTCGGCGGGCGGGGGGCGAACCCAGCAATGAGGCTGGAGCCCGGGAGCTGGCCCCCCGCCCACCGCCGCCGCGGACGCGCAGCTGCCGTCTCGTCTCTGAGAGGGGCCCGCAGATAGGGGGGCCGCAATGCGAACCCTACCCCTGCCCCCCACGATTTCCGAGGGGGAGGGTGGGCTTCACTTCGTTCGGGAGCTCCCCAGCGAAGTGGACCCCCACCCTCCCCCTTAGAAATCGTGGGGGGCAGGGGTAGGGTTCGCATGTGGCCTCCTAGAGCGGTCGGGGGAGCAGGATCGGAAGCCGGGCAAGGGCTGCCAAATCACGCGTGCGTGGCTGCTAAAATCGACCTCCAGGAAGCTGTCTTCCTTCCTTCTGGGAAGAAGCCCGTGGACCGTCTTCGTCCTTCCGGGAAGGGTTCGCATGCGGCCCCCGCAGGAGGAGGAGGAGGAAGAGGAGGAGGAGGAGGAGGAGGAGGAGGAGGAGGAGGAGAGGAGGAGGGAGGAGGAGGAGGAGGAGGAGGAGGAGGAGGAGAGGAGGAGGAGGAGGAGGAGGAGGAGGAGGAGGAGGAGGAGAGGAGGAGAGGAGGAGGAGGAGAGGAGGAGGAGGAGGAGGAGGGAGGAGGAGGAGGAGGAGGAGGAGAGGAGGAGGAGGAGGAGGAGGAGGAGGGAGGAGGAGGAGGGAGGAGGAGAATGAGGGAGGAGGAGGAGGAGGAGGAGGAGGAGAGGAGGAGGAGGAGGGGAGGAGGAGGGAGGAGGAGGGAGAGGAGGAGAGGAGGACGAGGAGGAGATGGAGGAGGTACGGGCCCATCCGACCGCGCTCGTTGCTCGCGCCCGCCCTCGGGGGGCAACCCCGCGGCGGCGGCCCGCGGCCCCCCCCGCGCGGCCTCTGCTGGGGCCGGGCGCGGAGGGCTCTCCCTCCGCGGGGCGCGCGCCCTCGTCCCCCTCCTCTCCTCCTCCTCCCCCTCCTCCCCCTCCTCCCCCTCCTCCTCCCTCCTCCTCCTCCTCCTCCTCCTCCTCCTCCTCCTCCTCCTCCTCCTCCTCCTCCTCCTCCTCTCCTCCTCCTCCTCCTCCTCCTCCTCCTCCTCCTCCTCCTCCTCCTCCTCTCCTCCTCTCCTCTCCTCCTCCTCCTCCTCCTCCTCCTCCTCCTCCTCCTCCTCCTCCTCCTCCTCCTCCTCCTCCTCCTCCTCCTCCTCCTCCTCCATCATCATCATCATCATCATCATCATCATCATCATCATCATCATCATCATCATCATCAGCGCGCGTCCTCGCTGCGGCACGCGCGCGGGGCCCGCGCCGCCCTGCGCCGCCCTGCGCCGCCTGGCGCCGCTCGTCCAACGAAAGCGCCGCCCGGCAGGCCCGCGCGACGCAGGCGGACCGCGGATGCGCGCGCGCCGTGCAGGGCGTCCGGGGAGGAGGGGCGCGGCAAGGGGCGCGGCATAAACAGGGAGGCATATACGCGGAGCGAGATGGACGGGCGGGGCAGGGCAAGGGCAGGCGCGCCAGGAAGGCAGGGCAGAAACGAACAGATGCAGGTAGAGGTCCGCAAACGAAGCTGCTACTTCGCCAGCGTGCGTCCCGCCACGAACTGGCACTCTTCCTGGTTGCGCAGCAGCCCTCGCCACGAGCCTCCGGATCGCCAGCGGACCGCCTTAGCAAGCGCGCCGGGCGCAACCGCGCCACAGCACGGCACAACAGCGGCGGCGGCCAACGCACGGCGCAGCACAGTGAAAAAAAGGCAGGGCACCGCACGATCGGGATCTGACCTTACAGGGGCAAGGGCGCGAAATGGCGGGCAAGCGCGACCAGCGCAGCGCCACTGCACTGCGTCGGGTCGATCAAGGTATCAGACCTACCTGACTACCTATCAGACCACCCCAACCCAACCCGAAGACCCGAATTTCGGGTTAGGGGGGGGTAAGGGTTCCACACGTGTTTTTGTTCGATGTTTCCCGACCGCCCCCAACTGGAAATCGAGGGTAAATCTGAGCCTTCGGGCTGGGTTGGGGTGGTTTGGTGTGTGGTGACTACCGAACCATGTAATACCGCATGCGCTAGGGGCCCAAAGTGGTCAAATTGTTGCGCAGGGCGCGGCGGATGCAGACAGCGTAGCGCATCAACGACGGCAGACAAGGAAAGCCTACCACGACATTGCGAGCGCCAGCCTAGGCCTGAGACGCCTGCAGCATTAACGGATTAGCCAAAGCGCAGGCCCTGCCGACCCTGCACACGCGCGCGCGCGAGAAAGGGAGGGTTGACGCACTGCGAGGGTCCAGATCGCATCCGTCCCCGACACCACAACCGCCCAACAGTGGCCAACACAAATGGCCCCGCAAACGCCAGCATGAGCACGAAATGCCGGCTGCCTGGAGCGCTCAAGAAAAACAGAAGACGCAAGCACTGGCGAGCCTGGCCATCACCGTCCAGGGGTGTCTCGGTGAGGGGCGCACTCCATCCTTCCTCCCTCCCTTCTCCCTCACCCCTCCTCCTGCCTTCCGCTGGCAGGTTCGAGGTTCTAGGTCCGGGTCTGTTCCTTGCCTTTTTCAATCTCCAGTAGTCTTTTCTGGGTGCCGGGGCCGTCGGAAACGGATCTGGGGCGAAGGCTACACCAGATGGACGCTGGAAGGGGTCTGGGGATCGTTTTTGAACGGATTCGGCTTCACCCCCTTCCTGTCAGATTTCCGCGGGCCCGACTAGTTCAGACCCTCCGGCCGCCTCTAACAGAGAGCGGGAGAGAGACAACACTATCCTGGCGAAGGACCCAACCATATGCAGTTGTGAATAACACAATTGTTGGCATCGTCTTCGGTGGAGCTCCTCATGGGGCACGAAACGTGTGAGGGGTGTGCCAACATGGGCGCGGTGGTGTCCTGCGAGCGCAGCCACTGAGGCCTTCGGTGGAGCTCCTGGTGGGGGGCCACGCAACGTGTGAGGGGTGTGCCGAAATGGGTGCGGTGGTGTTATGCGAGCGCACCCACTGGGGCCTTCGGTGGAGCTCCCTATGGGGCCATGTGAGGGGTGTGCCGAAATGGGCGCGGTGGTGTCCTGCGAGCGCAGCCACTGAGGCCTTCGGTGGAGCTCCTTGTGGGGCCATGAAGCGTGCGAGGGGTGTGCCGAAATGGGCGCGGCGGCATCATGCAAGCGCAGCTCCCTATGGGGCCCCTAAGGCCCGTGTGAGGGGTGTGCCGACATGTGTGCGGTGGTGTCATGCGAGCGCAGCCACTGGGGCCTTCGGTGAAGTTATGCGTGGGGCCACGAAACGTGTGAGGGGTGTGACTGGGGCCTTCGGTGGAGCTCCTTAGGGAGCCACGAAACGTGTGAGGGGTGTGCCCAAGTGAGTGGGTGACGGGAGGAGGGAGGGGGAGGAGGAGGAGGAGGAGGAGGAGGAGGAGGAGGAGGAGGAGGAGGAGGAGGAGGAGGAGGAGGAGGAGAAGG